AGCCAGCTCGAGCCGAGCCATGGGCGAGCGGGCAGCGGCGGGCAGACCGCAGGCGGCAGCGGCGCAGCTGCGCAGCGGCGGCGGCGGCGCCGCGCGGCTTAGCTGACGGCTGCACGCGCGCGCACCGCAGCGTGGCAGACCCCGGGGCGCAGGTGGGGTCAGGCCGGCCACGTCCCCGAGCGCAGGACGGCAGCGTGCGCTGGTGGGCGGAGCGGCAGAATGGCCCGCAACCGTGTTCTGCGGGCGTCCAGGGGGGCGCAGGGAAGGAGAGCCTGAGTGGCGGCGACGCAGGCGCAACGCCGCCTGCGCCAGGGGCGAAGGGAGGAACCATCGGTTGCTGGACGCCGCGCCATGTGGATGGCACGCGGCGACAAGGCCAGATGCGAAGGTATGGCGCAGGCAGAGAAACTTCTTGCGTCGGCAGAGCGACACCCGATCAGACAGTGCTGGTTCGCGCTTGAAAGGGGAGCGGTAAATTGAAATGCAATGCGTTCGCACCGACTGGCCGATCCCGCAGAGGCCTGAAACAAGACTAACAAGTCGTAATGCAACATGGGGAACCACGCATCGCACACACGCACACACGCACACACACAGGCAACCACGCACACTGTTTCCAATGAGAGCACGCGAATCGTCACGCAGGGTGCATGATGTCTAAGGTCACAGTTCGCCGCGCCGAGTGCAGAGGCAAGGCGAAGTTATCGCCGATATCCGCAACCGTTCTGACGCGCGGCCGCACGCCTTGAAGGCGTCGGCGGTGGGGCCGTAGCCCATCATATGATGACGAAGACATTCTGGAGCCAGCTCAGTGACAATATTCCTGTCTTCTTGGCTGAACTCTGCAGTAGCCTCGAAGCGGCTGTACTGCGCACACCAAATCAAAACGCCGTCACTGATCTCATGGTCTTCCGCTGTCAGATCCTTTGTGGCATGACGCATCGATGGGCCGATGTAGAAAAGTACGCTATATCATCACAGTCCCCCGTTTCGAATATGTCAACAAAATTATCCCGGCAAAGCAACCTAACAGCGATGTGTAGAAGCATATCTGAAAGCATTCCCCTTAAGATTCAGATGAAAATCCAGTTGTAGAATTCTGCTGTTCTCGCAGTCGTAGTCGCATTCGCGATGACAGTCGCAGCGGCAACGGCAGTCGCAGTCACAGCCTCAGCCTCAGCCTGCCTCAGCCTCAGCCTCAGCCTGCCTCAGCCTCAGCCTGCCTCAGCCTCAGCCTCAGCCTGCTTCAGCCTCAGCCTCAGTCTGCCTTCAGCCTCGGCCTCAGCCTCAGCCTGCCTCAGCCTCAGCCTGCATCAGCCTCAGCCTCAGCCTCAGCCTGCCTCAGCATCAGCCTGCTTCAGCCTCAGCCTCAGCCTGCCTCAGCCTCAGCCTCAGTCTGCTTCAGCCTCAGCCTCAGTCTGCCTTCAGCCTCGGCCTCAGCCTCAGCCTGCCTCAGCCTCAGCCTGCCTCGGCCGCAGCATCAGCCTGCCTCAGCATTCAAAATGTGGCCCAGGAATGGAATTCTGGGAACTAGAAGAACACGAAGTGGCCTACAGTTGGCTCCGGGCATTCAAAATCATGCCCAGGAATGGAGTTCTGGGAACTTGAAGAGCACGAAGTGGCCTACAGTTGGCTCCGGGCATCCAAAATGTGGCCCGGGAATGGAGTTCTGGGAACTCGAAGAGCACGAAGTGGCCTACAGTTGGCTCCGGGCATCCAAAATGTGGCCCGGGAATGGAGTTCTGGGAAGTCGAAGAGCACGAAGTGGCCTACAGTTGGCTCCGGGCATCCAAAATGTGGCCCGGGAATGGAGTTCTGGGAGCGCCAAGAGCGATTTTGCGAGGATGTCCCAAGCGATTTGGGCTTCGGCGGCAGCCGTTCCGGGTCCCGCCCCGACCCCCCTGTGGAGTCATCTGCTGCTCTCTTTTGAGACCACTAGAAACCTATCAGCAAAAGCTGTTAGGTAATATGTGAGCATCCTTCTGAAAGGATGCACCTTGGTTGCCAGAACAGATGCTGACGCCCAGGCTCGTTCCGAATCTCGACGAGAGGGGCGTCCGTATCCATATCTGCCGCCATAGCCACCATCACTTCATCGTCGGAATCTTCAGGGCTAGTGTGCAAAGCACCCTCGCTGGAGGGGATAATTCCACGCAAACATAAGTAGAAACCTCGGATGCAAACCGCCGCAATAGATATTCAGTGCGGTCGCGAAGGTGTAGACGCTCGTCTGTTGCCTCTTCTGATTCTGGCGCGTGCGTCTGGAGGTCGTCGGCTGGAGAATCCGTCCCGCAGACTGGAATCAAAATCACTGTCATGAGCATCTTGTTCGTGTATGCAGGTGTTCGTGGGCATTCTGGCATGGAATCTGGCATTGAATGCTCTCGCACCGTACGCTGGCTGCACACATCGGCTCGATCAGTCAGAACATTCGAAAGCAATGCCCTCGATGTGCTCATGACATTTTCATTCGCGTGCCACGTAGACTATGCCCATGTCCCCCACCCAAATGCAGGGGCACATATTCGTCAGCGTCTGCACGTAGTTGCCCGCCTTCTGTAAGCGCACAGAGAGACAAAGATGATTAAAGATGATTTGAGATGACTAGCGCGCACCACTGTCTGACGAACTGCAACACCACGATCTCTCAATAGTCACCGTCTCGATTTCGACATTTTCGTACAGGGTCGCTATGAAGCGTCACAAAGCAGCGCCGTATGCATTCCTCCTTAAACTGCTCAAACTTGGGCTGACTTGGGCTGATACTTGAGTCAATGCTTGAGCCAATGCTTGAGCCAATGCTTGACCTGAATGCAAAACGAAATATAAGCACTATATTTGTGACACGTGCAAGCAAATCAGAAAATGCGTGCGCATGGAGATTCACTAAAAAACGAGCTTCAAAACTCACCCCAATCCGCGCTTGGAGCAAGCAGGCGCGAAACGGAAGAGATGCGAAGCAAACGCTTCGAAGTCCTTCGACGCGCCAGGCGGCCAAACAACGCGCGCATCACGACACATTACAGCAGGTCGACCCAGAAAATGCCCCGCACCCGAACCTGTCTGCACCAACCTGCCATGGAACGTCACCTCTCCGACGAGCACTGTCGGACACCGTGAGTGTGGATGTAAGCGTGAATAAGGTCCACTGACATAAAATGGCGCAGGCGGTCTTCCAGAAGTGGAGGCAGGAGAACCACGGGGGAGCAGGAAGAGCACTAGGCAGCGCGGCGGACGCTGGTCGAAATGCTGCCAGTCCACGTAGGACACGGGGCTGCGTGATGCAAGCGCTACCCATGCAGGAACAGTCGCTGCAAAAGGGGCACTACGCGCAGCCGCACACACCGTTCCTGCGACGCGCCAGCGAGACGCAGCGAGTGGTAACATTAACCACGGGCAGTAGCAAGACCATGATCCACCTTCGTGGAAGCGTGGCAGAATCTGAAGATCCCCACGAGAGAGGGGCCTCGCCGAGCGCAGGGCAGAAAAAAGCCAGGCGCACAAAGGGAAGGAAAAGAACCAGAGACAGCGGGAGGAGGGAAGCCAGCTGCCACCGAGAAGGTCAAGCCGAGCCGTCGAAAGCGGAAGGCGGATGAGAGGGACTACACAAGGGGAGGACCAGAAGGACAAGGGAACCATCTGGCGCAACCGCCCCCTCGTTGTTGTTTTTGTTGTTGTCGATGTCGTTGTTGTTGTTGCTGTTGTTGGTGTTGTTGTTGTTGTTGTTGGTGGTGGTGGTGGTGGTGGTGTCGCTGCTGTTGTTGTTGGTGTTGTTGGTGTTGGTGTTATTTTCGTCGGCGGCCAGAGAGGCACCCAGCGGCGGTCGGACATCGGTGGGGCACACCGGACAGCAGCGCAACCGCACACAATCAACACACACAGTCGCCAGAGGCCACGGCGATGTGACACCACAGTCGCGGCTGAACATGCACGGACGCAGACATATCAATTGCACTTAAAACTACACAAGCACAAACACACATCACACGCAAATACACACGCGCGCGCAATTTGTGCCTGGGCGATGCTGCGCCCTCAATCGGTGAGAAGTGAACGCACGTGTGGCGACCGCGCTCAAGCAGAAGACGTGTACTCTCGGGTAGGGGGCGGGCTACAGGCGAGAACTAACCACTCACTTGCGCAACCACTCACACTCGCGCACACACACCACATACGTACGCACGCACTCTGGTCGTAAAAGCTCGTCTGGGGTGCGAGTAAGGAGGAGAAGGGGGAATACACAAATGGTCGAGCACCAGCCAAAACGAACAAATAATCGCCCGGACCCTTTTCAGACGTGGAAGCTTCTTGGGCGCATCTGTTTCTATCCTAGGTGATCTGACTGTTGGGAGCGGAAGGAGATCCGCACTAATTTCTTGAGTCGGCGCCGGAGGCGCCACCAAGGGGTCCTGCGACGACCCAACGAATCCGCGCGGACCTCCATCTGTTCTTTGCTCATGCGTTATCGTAAAGACCTTTGAACTCCGACTCCGCTGCTGATCAGCAACCGTCGGTCTAAGAAAGAATGGGGGGGGAAGATGGAGGCAACCGTGTCGCCGCCTGTTGCCGCATCGTTACAGCCCACACGGGGCGGTCCGTCGAGGTTTCGCCGCGTCGCCGACCGTTGCCGCCTCGTTGCAGCCAAGTTGACGCCCACCGGGCTTGGGAGATCCGTCGAGATTGCACCACATAGCGTGCTCCACATAGTTTGCACCACATCGTTTGCACATTCACAATGCAAAAACTTACTGTTCGGGATCCATCCACGCTGGCTACCATAAATTTCCCCAATCAGTGCCGCCACTGAGTGAGTCCTAACGGATATTGAAAGATTTGGCGAAAGTCCCGGGCCGATTTCGGTAGCCGGCTGGGTTTCCTGGTTCCCGGTTCCGGGTTCCCGGGTTCCCGGTTGCTGGTTACTGGTTCTGGGCCGATTTCGGGATCCCACGGCTCACCATCGATCTCACCATCGATCTCACTATCCTTGCCACTCATTCTCAAACCGTCCACTGCTTGGGGTGTTCCTCTGGTGCAACTCAGCGACTTCGGGAGTCCGATTCCGCTGCTGATCCGCGATCGTCCGTCGAGGGAAGCAGGGGGGGAGAAAAGGACGGCGCGGAGGGCGGCAACCGCGCCGCCTTCCTCCGCAGCTCGTTGGCCCGGTCCAGGTCCTGGGCGACGGTGTCGCCCAGCGTGGAGGTGAGCTCCTTCGCATTCTCGCGGATCTCCTGCCGCTCGAGCGCCGCTCGGGCCCCGACGCTGCCGGGGCCGCAGCGCGCTCGGTACACGCTGCTGATCTGCCAGGAGGGAGAGGGACGGTAAAGTTAGGTCGGGCACGTCCCCCTAGAGGCGGATTTGGGGCGAAAAATGAATACTCAGACAATACCCCCAAATGATCCAAAAATACTATTAAAAAAATTCGCCGGCCCAACGGGCCAGAGGCGTGCTAAGATCTCCGGTAAATGGTTCACAATTCTTCTAGTTCGGGCGCGCGGGGCGGCCCCTGGGGGTCCCCCGGCGAAAAGTACCCCGACCGCAGCCCGGGAAGGTCCCGGGAAGGTCCCGGGAAGGTCCCGGGAAGGTCCCAGGAAGGTCCCGGGAAGGTCCCGGGAAGGTCTACTCAGAGATGGTTTTCCTCCTGGGTGCGGCCTCTCAGGCCCCCCAGAGCGCGCCAAGAGGGCCCCAAGAGGCCCCCAAGACTGCCCAAGAGGCCCCCGAGGCCCCCAAGACTGCCCAAGAGGCCCCCGAGACGCCCAAAGGACGCTCCAAGACGCCGAAGATGATCCCAAGACGGCCCAAGAAGCCGCCAAGACGCTCCAAATGGCCTCCAAGAGGCCTCACAAGAGCGCCCCGAGAGGCCAAAATCATAAATTTTACGATGGTTTTGGAAGGATTTTGGCCTTGTCGCATTTTCGGCTTTCCGATGCTTCAAGACAGCCCAAGAAGCCCCCAAGAGCGCACGAAGACGGCTCAAGAGGCCCTCAAGAAACCCCCAGAGAGCCCAAACGGGTTCCGAGACGGCCCAAGAGACGCCCAAGACGGCCTAAGAGAGCCCCAAGACGGCCCCAAGAGGGGCCCAAGATGGGGACCACGAACCGAAACCTTCAGCCTTCCGCCCCAAGAGGGCCCCAGGAGGCCCCGAGAGGCCCCCAAGATGGCCCAAGATGCCGCCAAGAGGCCCCCAAGAGACCCCAAGAGGCTCCAAGGAGGCTCAAAAGAGGCCCTACAAGACTTCAAAAATGTCTCCCAGGCGCCCCCAAACGGCCTCTCAACAGACCCCAGGGCCTCCCAAAAAAGCATCTGGACGACGGCCCTGTTTGGCCCCAAGAGCGCCGCAAGATGCCATCGAGAGGCTTCCTCCTCCGCCCTTTTCTTTTCCTCCTCCTCCTCCTCCTCCTCATATTTATCTTCATCCTCCTCCGTTCCTTCTCATCCTCTTCCCCTCCCCCCCTCCCCCTCCCCATCCTCATCTTCCTCCTTCTGGCGGCGCCGAAATGGCCCCGAGCCCGCGCCGAAGCAGTAGCGATCATGCAATACGGGCCGGCGGAGTGAGCGAAGCGATTGAATCGTCCCCAGACTATTCTTTGACTATTTTTGAATGTTCCTCCTGCAGAGGAACAGGCCCGACTTAACTGGAAGGGGACACAAAATTTGATATCCTTCGTCTTCGACCCCGCGTGCGCCCCCCCCTCCCCCAATTATAAAAGTTGGCTTCGGCCTCCCGAAGGCCCTGGGGATTCCGCTGTCTCGTCCTCTTCACGCCTGTGCTGCCGAATGCTTGGGGCCAACCTTGAGATTGGGGGGAGGGGGGGCCGCGGTGTCCACGGTCCCACTTTTGGGTCCAGCTACGGGAGGGAGTCCTGGGGGAGACGTGTCCTACTTTTATCGATGGTCCTCAGAACGTGCCTTGGCGCCAGCGCGTGCGCTTGTCGACCGAAGCCCCTCGGCACGGCGCGGGCGGTAGGGCGAGGGCTGGCACAGGCTGCGCGCGATCGGTGGAGCTGAAGGGGGGTGGCATACATACACACACAAATTTGCGTCGGCGGCTACGCAGAGTAACTGCGCTGGCGGAATGGCAGATGTTGGACGAACAGTTGCGAATTAAGCCGAGATGCACGAGAGGAGGAAACGCACAGGAAACGCACACACACACACACACTCACACACACACACACACACACACACTGTGCTGACACACGTCCTGAGGATCATCGATGCCTGCCCCCAGGTGGGACGCACAAGGAAATACTTGTACTATATGCGTCCTCCGCGGAGGCGTGCGCCCGACCCGAACAAGTTGTACACCCATCTTGTAGCGCGTCACTTCCCGAGCGCCAGCCACGGAGCTCATACTGTAAGACTTCTCGGGGCGCGCGCGTCGCCCCTGGGGGGGCGACGCACACACAGTGTAAGAATTTTGGGGTGACGCCGACCAGGGGTTCCCCTCCGAGCCCGTTCGGCACCTGAAGGAGGGAGGGGAGGGAGGGAGGCGGGAAGAGGGAGGAGGGAGGGAGGGAGGAGGCCCGCTCGGCCGCCGGGTCGGCTCGGGAGCAGGCCCGCTCGGGCGCCCGAGCGGGGCCAGAGATGCCCGCCCACCAGCCTGGAGCTGAGGCCCGCTCGGCGGCCCGCTCGGTCGCGCCGCCGACTGGGCTCAGTCGCCTCCTCCTCCTCCTCCGCCTCCTCCCTCCTCCTCCTCCCCTCCCCTCCTCCTCCTCCTCCTCCCTCCTCCTCCCTCCTCCTCCCCTCCCCTCCTCCCCCCCCCCCCCTCCTCCTCCTCCTCTCCTCCCCTCCCCTCCTCCTACTCCTCCTCCTCCTCCTCCTTCTCCTCCTCCTCCTCCTCCTCCTCCTCCTCCTCCTCCTCCTCCTCCTCCTCCTCCTGGCCTTCAACCCCGAGTCCTCGTTCTGCGGCCCCGGGGGGAGCCCAGGGCGGGCCACGGAGAGGCCGAAGAGGGATGAGAGAAAGATCACGGCGAAGACTCCTTTTGGCTCTGGGAAAAGACCGACCTACCGCGTGGGCCCTAGAGCCTAAACGCCCCGTGCTGCGGGGGAGGGGGAGATGTGGAGGAGCAGCAGCAGGAGAACCAGAAGGAGGAAGACCCGGACAGCAGGAGGAAGAGGAGGAGGAGGAGGTGGAGGACCAGAGTAAGCCCAAAATGCGTAAATGATGCTCCAATACAGCCTCCCATCCCAAGACCCCTAATCAGCAGTCCCTACAACCATTCCTTTCCACTTTAAGAAGCGTCCCTATGGAAGACCAGCATCCCATAGGGCCTGCCATCGAGGTGAAAGCCCCGTTTCGCACATGAACGAACTGTATGCATCCTTCCAGCGAGCAAGATGGCACGCGCAATGGCATGGCCATAAAGCTCAAAGGTGTGTCCAGCGAGACCCGCTGTTTTGAAAAAGTATCGCCCCATGTGTGCAACCCTGGTCTGGCCATGATCGTCGAGGAAGTCTCGAGTAAAAACCGTAACTATGGTATGGCCATGATTGTCGAGGAAGTCTCGAGTAAAAAACACATGATGAAAAAGGAGTCACCCTCCATCTGTGCAGCCACTGCGTCTGCTCAAGCTTCTGGTCCTCGAAGCCACAAACTTCTCACGCGCACGCCCAAGCTTGAAGAGGAACCGCACTTCGTCCGCACAGCTCTTGCAACCGTTCAAACTGCTGGCCTTTTCACCCCAGAGAAACATCAAGCGAAAAGCCCACTTTGAAAAGGAACCGCCCACAATCCATGAAACTGCTGCAGACTTTCCAAAAAGATGTGCGCGGCGCTTCCATGCTGAAAACCGGACCCCCTCCATCCTTGGAAGCGCAGCAGATTTCAGCTTTCAGGAGCATAAGCGGTGAGGAAATCTCAAGCGAAACGCCCCGCCGACACGCCTGGAGGCGCGACACTTGAAGGAGGAGGAGGAGGAGGCGGAGCGTCCTCAGGAAAGTCTGAACTCCTTACCTAGCCACTCTACGGGCCCGTCGGGCCGAATTGCCTCCAGCAGGGAGGTCCACAGCTTGACGCGCAGCCCTGGCGATCGAGCGGGCGACCGAGGCTGGGACCGTCCCACTGGTGGCTTCGCGCTTCTCAAGGTGGAGAAGGCGGTGCAAATGGAACATCAACGCAACTCCTCGAGCCAAATCCAGCACGGGGACGACGAGGGCAAGGGCAGAAAGAGGATGACTGGGCAACGGGCGGCCAAGGGCCACCCGCACCAGCTCACGAAAGTGCAGACACCAGAAATAGTGCTTCAGGCTATCTGGAGCATCACAACCCAGGCAGCATCTACGGTCTCGATTCTGGAGACGGGTGTCTGTGACCCAGCCCCCGAGCCAGGTCTTGATGCATGCGCACCTCCAGCCCGGGGGCGCACGCATCAGGACCTGCTCCACGTCATGCCACACTACAGCCGCAGCCTCCAGGGGGGGCACTCCGAACCATTTGCGGAGCCTCTCCGAGACAAGGCCCCGCAGATTCCCATCCCTAGAGGCCCGCAGGCCCACCAAAAGCTCACGCTGCAGCCGTCTCCTCCGCCCGTCCTCCCACCGACCCGCCCCACCTTGGCTAGAGGGAAGGAGAGGGGGAGCGCCACTCTTTTCGAGCAGCTCGCGCCCCGCCGCCTCTGCACGCGCCAGCGTGACTGCGGGGGCGGGCGCCTCCCACCAGGAAGGCCAGGGCTGGCATGACGTGCATCGCACCATCGGCAGCCTGCGAGAGGCCACCTCACTCAGGTGCGCAGCGGCCCGACGCCATGTCTCCAGCGTCGAGAGGGCCGAGCGCGTGAGCGACGCCGCCAGGAGGTCCGACGTGGGCACGCATCTTGGACCCCCCAGCGTCTCCAAGTCGTAGAACGTGTTCTTCTTGAACAAGCTTCCCGAGCACCTCACAAGCCGACACAGCAGGAAGCTCTCATCGTCAATCAGCTCCGTCGGCATCGGCCAGAGCTGCGCGTTGCAGGCCAGGACGGGCTGGCATCGACGTCCGTCCTCGAAGAAGGCGGCCGTCATGTCCAGCGGAGATGCCGCCAGTGCCAGGACCCGTTCACGAAGGCGCGCGAGTGGCGCAGCCCACTGGGCCGCCAGCGATGCACCAGGGCCCACCAAGCATCCCGGCAGCTCCACCGACGAGGCCACGGTGAAGGAGCCCTACCCGCAGGCCTCGTCCAGGCACTTCCTCATCGCGTCCTCCACCGCCGTCGAGAACGGAGCCCAAAGCGGGACGGCCGCGCACTTCTTG